GAGAAACAGACATCCTTTGGAAATTCTGTGCCCAGGCCACACTTTTCCCCACTGCCGAGGCTGTACCATGCCTGAGCCCATCTCCTGCCCACCCCACCCCCACCCCCAGGAGTTATGGTGGCTGGAGTTCACCTTGGTGACCAAATGATCATCCGTAAGCAGCATCCTTAACCAGCACTTGTGTAACTCAGATTTTAGAGGAAAGCATTTGTTCTGGGGAGGCATCCAGCAGAGCACTCTAAGATGTGATTCAAGTGAACTTGGTTCTTTCCAGCTCTGGCCTGGACTCCAAATTGCTGAGTGGTCTGAGACATTCCTCTTCTTCGTGGAGCAAGTGTTTTTCAAGAGACTGGGATGTACAAACCAGAGCAGGCACAGCGGAGGTCAGAGCAGGCACAGCGGAGGGGCCCAGATGACGGGGCAGGGCCCTTCCCACTCGGGATGCTGAATATAATGGGATAGAGGGCCACATACACACACACACACATCACACATAACACCACACACACACACACACACACACACACACACACACACACATGGCAAAGGAGAACACCTTTGGTTCAGATGGAAGATAGAACCACAGTCTCAAGTGCCCCCAAGTCCGCGGCCGGTGATGACCTAGTGACACACTGCTCTCTCATCCAGCTTTGGAATCAGTGTCAGAAAACCTAGCCTGGGTCTGTGGGCGAGAGAGCAGGCCCCACGGAAGGGCCTCCTCCGAACCCCCATGCCTCCCGGGGTGTGGCCGGAGCAGCCCCACCCTCCTCGGGCTGCAGGGAGATCAGCTCACCTTCTGGAATATGTTGACCGAATGCTCACATATTGACTCATCCGCCGCTCACCACGGCTCACAAAGTGGGGGCTATTTTTATACTAACCCCCAAGTGACAAGCCCCGCGGAGGAGGACCCAGTTCTGATCCCGGAAGCCTCTAGCTGCCAGGCTGGGCCCCCCGGTTTGCGACACGAGTTTCTAGGGTGCTTTGGTTTTGTTTTCCCCAAATTCGGTCACTCCACCTGCAGGTTTGGCCATACCTATGCCACTTACCCAGCTACTTCTTTAATAGACTTACTTCTGAACTGTCACTTCATAATGTCACCTTCATAACAGAAAATAAGTGTCATCCATCATAACAACACCCTGTGACAAATAAATACAATGGGCCAATGTTTAAAAGCAATGCTATTAGGGGCGCCTGGGTGGCTCAGTCAGTTAAGCGTCCGCCTTCGGCTCAGGTCATGATCTCATGGTTCGCGGGTTCGAGCCCCTCATAGGGCTCTGTGCTGACAGCTCAGAGCCTGGAGCCTGCTTTGGATTCCGTATCTTCCTCTCTCTCTGCCCTTCCTCCACTTGTGCTCTGTCTCTCTCTGCCTCTCAAAAGTAAATAAATATTAAAAAATTAAAAATATGTTAAAAAAAAAAAGCAACGCTATTAAAGTCAGGCGAGATCCAGGCACCAGGACCGCCCTCTCTGTTGAAAGCAAATCCCACAGGGGTATTGAAGACACACCAACAGGGCTGGGACTGTCCTCAGCCCCGTCGGGAGGAGTGACCACAGGATACAGGGTCATTTGCCATTCGCCCGCAGCCCTCGCTTGGGAAATAGCTCCCTGCTTCAGCGTGTGGCCGCAAAATGCTGTCGGGGCCTTGGGGGCAGGGCTGGGGGCTCTGAACACGTGAACTTGGCCCTTGAGGAAGTGGCGCTGTGCATTCTGTGGTGGCTGCAGCCTCAGGGTCCCCCGGACACGGATTCTTGGGAAACCAGAACCGACCCCCTCTGAGACTCCAGTGGAATTTACTCCTGGCGGCACCGACAGCCAGCGCTGACGTGATTCAACGAAGGGAATCTGTTTAAGGCAAGTCTCGGACAGGATTCTGAGACAGACTGAGAACAAGTGAATCAGAATTTTGGAGCCTCCTTCCGAAGTATCAGTTTGAGAAACGCGGGGGGAGCCCAGCCGAAGGGTCACCCCCTCTTCTACCTCTACTCTGGCCGGGAGGGTCAGTCTGTGGGGGACACTGAGGCCCAGGGAGACAAGGGGGGGCTCATTCAGGGTCACGCAGAGAATGTCGCACTCCTGGCCACTGCCACCCCCCACCCCCGTGCCAGCGTGACCCGTGCCGCGCTCCCTCCCACATTCTTTCCTATCGCTCTCTGACATCAGATGTTATAATCCCAGGGTCCATTCGACAGGGCCCCGGGAGGAAAGAGAAGGCACATTCACACTGGATAATATTTAGATATTTTTGACAGAGGGTCTATTTACAGAGTGCAGATGGCGTGTGGGGGTGCCATCGGGGGCCCCAGAGCCAGCCTAGCCAAGGGCCTGGCACAGGTCACTCCCTCCCTCCCTGAGAACTGAGCGCAACAATCCTGGCCAGCGAGGTGGGAAGGGCCCCTGGAGGCCCCGAGGCAGAGAACTGGGAGCCCACACCCCAGCCAGGGCCCCACCTTCACAGACTCCCTCCCTCTGTGCTCTGCCAGTGCTCCCACTGGCCAAGCCCAAGGGAAGCCAGCTCTAACGCTGAGGTCCCCAGGGGCTGCAGGGAGAGTGGCCTGGAGAAGCCTGCGGCTCCCACACGCAGAGTCCTCCCGGGACGCCTCCAAAAGCAGAGGCAGAGAAGCTTCTAGCATCTACCAGTTTCTCTGGACTTTAAACCCCCTCTCGGAACTGCCAACTGCGCAGAGAGAGAAACTCCCGGCTTTGTTTTGAAAATGAGAGCAATGTTTACAGCCATTAGCCAGCAATCAGGATCAGCCAGGCAGATCTGGGAACACCCAACACCCAGGGCAGTGAGGAAACACTGGGCACCACCCAGGGGACTGAGCTGAAGCACCTCCCCATCCCCCAGTCACCTGTGCAGCTGGCACTGTCTGGGTGGAATTGGGGTCCGGGGCACATCCATCCCTCGGCAAGAGACGGAGCCTCACCTTACTCTTCCCCCCAATCTTAATAGAGATCCTGGAGGAATGAATGATTCAAACACATGACCTCTGACCTCCCCTGTCCAGGGGCCATGGAGGGCCTCCCCAAAAAACAGTCTACTAGAACTTTCTTCCCTTCCCCCAGTTCCCCTCCCTGAAGCATCAGCAGGACTTGGCTGCTCGCTGGCTCCTCTTGCAAATTCCAAATCCTGACCTCCACTCCGTTTAGGTAAACTGAGTTCGGGTAAACCTTTTCCAGATGTTAATTAAATATCTTCTGCTTCGTTTTCTGCTTCCTAACCCAGAGTCTTCTTTTCCAAATGCGTTCACATTTCCTGAACTGTCCGCTGCCTCACCTCCACCCCCTACAGCCGGATTAGGAGAGCTGGCTTCTGGAAGCTCCTGGTGTGCCCGCTGAGGAGTGGCTGAAACCCAGGGCGGGGCCGATCCATGGCTACGTGCACGTGCACACAGGCACCCAGGTTTTCATACCTTTCCCGGACAGGAGCTAGAGGGCAGGTGAGATCCTGGAGCGAGCTGGAGATCTGGACCAGGTGCGGGGTTTAAACCCCACCCCTTTGTTAGCAATGGCACCCGGACGGGTCCCCCCACGTCTCTGCACCCCACTTCCTCGGTAAGGCAAGTCTATGTCAGATGCCTACCTCCGTGGATGAGAGTACAGTTGATTCTTGAACAAAGTGGGGGGTGAGGGGTGCCGACACCCCTCCCTGTCAGAAATCCACCTCTAAGTTTTGACATCCCCAGACCTTAACTGCTGAGAGCCTACTGTTGGTTGACCAGAAGCCTTACTGATAACATAAGCAGCCGATTAACACACATTTTGTATGTTACATGTAATATATAGTATCTTCTTACAATACAGCCAGCTAGGGAAAAGCAAATGTTATTAAGAAAAACATAAGGGGGCGCCTGGGTGGCTCAGTCCAATAAGTGTCCGTGACTCTTGGTTTCAACTCAGGTCATGATCATATGGTTCAGGCTCAGGGGATCAAGCTTCCTGCCTCCCACCCCCCTGCCCTTACGCACTCATGCTATCTCTCTCACTCTCTCAAAATAAATATTAAAAAAAAAAAGAAGAAAATCATAAGGAAGAGAAAATATGTTTACATTTACAGGGCTGTACCATATTTATTGGAAAACATCCACATATGTGGACCCTGGCAGTTCAAAGCTGTGTTGTCCAAGGGTCAGCCGTACAGTGAAACGGAGAGAGGGACAGAGAAGGGCTTCATCCGCGGGAGCCCCACTAGGCAGCACGGCTTACACCTCTCACCCGGGGCCCAGAACTACAGAGCACACCGTGGCAGTCACCACCGCAGTGGGTCGGCACTGCTCCTCGGTACCTGCCTTTGTCGTTGGGCTCGAAGCCCCCTGAGATCCTCCAGCCCAGGCCACCCAAGCCCCAGCTCCAGACCCGCTCTGAGCCCCACAGCTGCTTACACCCCTACCTGTGAGTTTCAGAAGCACCTCAAACTTAGTAATTCCAGTCTAGACCCATGATCACTCTCCAAGTCAGCCCTCCCCACCCCTTCCTTTATAGAAGATGGCAGCACCTGTGGTGGGGGGTGTCCTTGACACGTCCCTTGCCCTCATCTCCAGGCTCTCCATGGCCAGCTTTGCACCAGCCACCAGGGCCCAACACACATCCACACCGAGTTTCTTCCTGCCTCAGGGCCTTTGCACCTGCTGTCCCTTCTGCCTAGACATCCCTCCCCACCACCATCCTTTGACTCAGTTTCCTCCTGCTCACCCTCAGCTCTCAAAATAAATATCCATTCACCCCCACACACACCAGGTTGGGTTTGGACTCCATCTTATATGCTTTCATGGGACCTGTATTTCACAGCACTTGCATCAGTTTTCAATCATTTAGTGACTATTTCAGTAACATCTGGATTCTCCGTTAGTTATGTTCCTCGCATCCAGTATGTAGTTGCTGCTGAATAAATATTCATTAAGTGAAGGGCTCAGTTTCCCTTCCCTCGTGGACAAACACATGCATGTTTTATGGTCCCCAGCCCACCGTCTAACTGTCTTTTCTCCTCCTTCAGCCCGGGAGCCTCACGCACATCTCCCTCTGAGGCCAAATGTTTTCTGCCTGGAAGAGTCCAATGTTCCGGGCCTTTTATGAGGAACCCGTGCCCACCACAGCCTCTTTTGGGTAAGTCAAAAGAATTCCTTGATTCACTGCGTATGGCAGGAGGGGCGGACAGCCTGGAGAAGACCTGGGGAATGTGAGCCCCCATCTCCACAATGGCAGGCAATGTGGGATCCCCAGAACCTCTTCGAGTGCCCCGTGGACTTGGTGGGAGCAGGTGGCGTGGCCTGTTCTGTGGGGGTTGGTGGGGCGTGGGGATACAAGAGGGGGATACAGAAGGAGGTCACAGTCCGGGCGGTCATGTGTGAGCCATCCCAGATGAACTTGGACATGAAGAGAAGAGAGTGACGCTCTGAGGTCACCACCCAAGGAATCAGAGAGGCGCTAGGTCACCATGGAGACTGAACATCTGATGTCTGGTGAGAAGAACTGATCCCGAGTAGAGCAGAGGAAAGGAGGGTTGGTGTGTGTGTTGGGGGGGGGGGGGCAGCGTTGGCAAGATGGAGGGCAGGGGGGCCCTCCTGGCTTCTCAGCCCTGTGCGGGGCGCCGCCCACCATGCAGCTGACCAGGCGGTCACGGGGCACGTCACTCCCAGTTATGCACTCCCTGGGCCGCCTCGGACAATCCGGTGGCTTCTCAGGGCCAGAGGCCATCCCGTCGGTGAGGGATGGTGCCGCTGGGACATTAGCGGGCAGCGTCTGGTGCCAGACTTCAGTCTCCGGAGCCAGACCCTGAGAGACAGCTCTCCAGGCCTGCGCCACTGAGAACATGGCTTTTCTGTAGCTGCAGAAATGAGGCCAAAGGCTGGACCAAGGAGGCCGACCAGGGGAGGCCTTACTTCCAGAGGCTCCGCACAGAGCCTGCCAGTTTGCACGGGCCAGGAACGTAGGCCCGACGGGGACGCTTGTCTCCGTTCTGTGGTGCCTGGGGCCTCCCCTGGAATACGCAGACTAGGGTGCCAGGGTCGACCCAAGGCTGAACTGGGGCCGGAGGATCTGTTCCCACTGTGGCAAGTTGGCTTCTCTCCGCACGGCTGCTTGAGCACCCTCACAACATGGCCGCCGGCCTCCCCCACAGCGAGCAACGCAGGAGGCCGAGGAGGAGGCTGCGATATGTTTTATGACTGACTGCAGAGTCACACATCGTCATGGCCACCATGCGTGGGAAGCAAGTCAGTGGCCACATTCCCGGCGAGGGGAACTAGACTCCACCCTATGGAGGGAAGGGTAGCAAAGAATTTGGGGATAAAAAATCACCATTCTACCAGAAGGATCTTTCTAGAGTGTTTCTCCTATCCCCTCACTCCCTCCTGAAAGCCCTCAGGGACAGAGCTTCACCTTCTCAGCAGCCGGTGATGGTTGACCTTTTTCCTTTATTCATCCCATCCCTGGCCACTTCCCTCCTCCCTGTCCAACATCTACTCCGCCTTCCAGAACATGCCAGAAGCTTCTGCGTTTCTGCATCTCTGCTCCAACTGCTCCCTCGGCCTGGTCTGCCCTCTCTCCTTTTGTTGTTATTGTTTGTTTGCTTTGTTTTTTCATTTTCTTATTTGAGAACAGTCGAGATGCAATGCAACCTTCATTTCCGGTGTACAACATAGTGGTCCAGCCTCTCTATATGTTACGCTGTGCTTACCACAAATGCAGCCACCCTCTGTCACCATATATCACAGTCCCTTCTTGCTGTCTGTTGACATGTCCCTCATTTTTCCAGATCCAGCTTCAGAGCCACAGAGTCACCTCCGTCCTTCTCCATACACCCCCAACTCTGTGCCCCATGCCCTTCCTTCCCCTCACCCCCACGGCATCCATCACACTCTGGACCACAGTTGCCGGGAGCTTTGTCAGGGCAGGGGACCTGGGGCACTCACCTCTGGGTTCCTACAGCCAGGGTGGAGCTCAGCACAGAGAAGATGCTCAAGGTACAAAGGACAATTGCAGGGCACCTGGGGGGGGGCTCAGTCGGTTAAGCTTCTGACTTCCGCTCAGGTTGTGATCTCACGGTCATGAGTGCGAGCCCTGCATTGGGCTCCGTGCTGACAGCTCAGAGCCTGGAGCCTGCTTCAGATTCTGTGACTCCCTCTCTCTCTGCCTCTCCCCTGCTCACGCTGTCTCTCTCTCTCTCTCTCTCTCTCTCTCTCAGAAATAAATAAAACATTAAAAAAAATTAAAAATAAATAAATAAAACATTTTTTAAAAAGGCAGCTGTTTAGAAAAATTAAATACATACATAAATACATACATACATACGGGACAATTGCATTGATGGATGAGTTAGTCACACGTGCCCAGTCTGCCTGCTCAAAGCCAGCCAGCTGCTTCCGGAACAGAGGGGCTTTTCCTAGGAAATCCCATGGGTGAAGAGCAGATTCTTCCTCACAGCTGTGGCTCAACCCGCTCCCCACCCCAAACCCAGCCGATGAGTCTGCCCCAGAAGGAATCACCCACCCAGGAAGGGCTCTTCTCCCACCACTTTCCCTTACTCTCCCCACCCTGGGCACTAGGAAAATATCTACTCAGTCTTGCCCTCTGGCTGTACTTTCTGCCTTTGATGTGTCTTCATACCTACTCCGATTTGGACCTTGCCACGGCCATACGAAGAAAGTCAGGAAGGGAGTAGTGTTTTACTCCAAAGGAAACACAATGGAAGCTCAGAGAGGTCAAGCAATTTGCCTATGACTACACAGCTAGGAATGGAATCTGAATCTGTCGAAGCCCCGTGCCTCTTTGCAGAAGGTAGAGATGACTTAAGCCTTAACAGTGATACTTCTAGAAAATGGACTGCCCCGTGGTCTGAGTTGCACCCAGGCATGAAAGAGGAAGCAGTGGGTTAATGATAAAATCACTAATAAAGGAACAAGAACCTGAAAGCGGGGTGCTGGTTGTTTTAATAAGTTCACAAAAATAGATAATTATTCATGCTTATTGAACCCAAGTGCATAGCTTTGAGCTTTTTGCACGTGGTCTTGGATTCCCACCCCAACCCTGAGACGTAGATTTCAGTATTCCCATTTTACAAGGTAGGTCATTGGGGTTCGGAGAGGTTAATTAAATTACCCAAGGTCACACAGCCAATGAATGAGCCGAGATATGAACTGCCTGGTTCCAAAGCCCCTGCCCTCCCTTGCCATCATGCAACCTCTGACTATCATCAACACTTGGCTGATGAAGATTCTGGAAGCACAATGCTGCCCTCTGCCAGAAGGAGACAGGGTGTGGGCAGATGGGCTGTGGTCTTGGAGCCAGTCTGGAATCTCCCTGTCTGGTGTGATATCATTTTTCTCCTCTAATAAATTACTCACCACAGCCAGGCCACGAGAGGCTGTAAGATGCCCAGCTCCCTTGGGAGGCACCCACACGATAAGGAAGGAATGTGCTTTGCATCCTCCCATCACGGAAGCTTCGAGGAGGCCCAGGGCCCAAGACTGTGATCGTTGGTGCTATGGACCGACGCCAGCCAAGGAAGCATCCCGGTGGAGCTGCAAAAGGCAAAGAATCCAAACTCTTGGCTCAGTGCAAAGAGATGGGGTACCTCTCAGAGGCCCCCGGGATCCCGGGGCGCCGGGACCCCAGTCTCTGAGCACGAGGCAGAAAGGGCCTGAGCACCCCCTCCCAACCTCGCTTCTGGAAGCTGCTTGCTGAGTCCCCCTCCTCCTGCGTCAGTTGTGTCTCCTTCTTCTTATGACCCTGAGGTGTAACAGTCTGTTTTGCCCTTTCTTTCAGCGCCGAAATGCTCAACGCCACCTCGCAGGTCCTCGCGCCCGCTCTCAATGGGACGCTGTCCCAGAACTGCGTCTACAGCGAGTGGTGGAGCTGGCTCAACACCATCCAGGCTCCCTTCCTCTGGGTCCTGTTCGCACTGGCGGCCCTCGAGAACATCTTCGTCCTCAGCGTCTTCCTCCTGCACAAGAGCAGCTGCACGGTGGCCGAGATCTACCTGGGCAACTTGGCCATGGCCGATCTGATCCTGGCCTGCGGGCTGCCCTTCTGGGCCATCACCATCGCCCACAACTTCGACTGGCTCTTCGGGGAGGTCCTCTGCCGCGTGGTGAACACTATGCTCTACATGAACCTCTACAGCAGCATCTGCTTCCTGATGCTGGTGAGCATTGACCGCTACCTGGCCCTGGTGAAGACCATGTCCATGGGCCGGATGCGCGGGGTGCGCTGGGCCAAGATCTATAGCCTGGTGATCTGGGGGTGCACGCTGCTCCTGAGCTCACCCATGCTGGCCTTCCGGACCATGAAGGACTATGGGGCCGAGGGCTACAATGTCACCGCCTGTGTCATCATCTATCCGTCCCGCAGCTGGGAGCTCTTCACCAACATGCTCTTGAACTCTGTGGGCTTCCTGTTGCCGCTGGTGGTCATCACCTTCTGCACCGTGCAGATCATGAAGGTGCTGCGCAACAACGAGATGCAGAAGTTCAAGGAGATCCAGACGGAGAGGAAGGCCACCATGCTGGTGCTGGCCGTGCTGCTGCTGTTCGTGGCCTGCTGGCTGCCCTTCCAAATCAGCACCTTCCTGGACACGCTGCTGCACCTCAACGTCCTGTCCGGATGCTGGGATGAGCACGTGGTGGATGTCTTCACGCAGATTGCCTCCTACCTGGCCTACAGCAACAGCTGCCTCAACCCGCTCGTCTACGTGATCGTGGGCAAGCGCTTCCGCAAGAAGTCGCGGGAGGTGTTCCGGGGGCTGTGCCAGAAAGGGGGCTGCGTGTCGGAGTCCAACAAGACAGAGAACTCCATGGGCACGCTACGGACCTCCATCTCGGTTGAACGTCAGATTCACAGACTCCCGGAGTGGGAGCGGAACAGTCAGTGAGGTCTGCCCCGTGGACTGTGGTTCACGGGTGTGGGGATGGAGCTGCAGCTGCCCCTTCAGGATGTGCCCGAGAGGGAGTGAAAGGCATGCCACGTGTATGACCTTGGGCAGTACATCGTCGTCTCCGGTAAAACAGGCGCTTCATTCCCACCCTGCCCAAGATGCAGTGGGCGAGGCCGTGAGGATGGGATGACCTCGTGCACAGCCAAGGGCACCGTAAACACGACAGTATTATTGTTCCCATTTGCTGCCACCCATGGGCCAGTCTGCTGCTTCTCAGGAGTAGAGGGGCCCTGGGGACAAGGGACAGGAGTGACTGCGCTTCCCTCCCACGTGGTGTACCACCCTGCCCCAGCGTGATGGCTCAGATCTCTGGATGAACTGCCACCCCAGCTTTGAGGCCATGGCTAGGCACACAGGTGGGGGCCTGGCGGGAGTTTTGCCTTCGGTCCCTTAAATCCACTCAGCCGGGACTCCCTGGTGGGAACCCGGAGAGCGGGATTCCATCACTTCCCCTGCCCACGGACAAGATGGTCTGTGCCAAACAAGAACTCAATAAGCACTTAGCACTTATTTAGCAATGGCTGTGTATGCAAGTGTTGAGCACGGCGGGCAAGAGGGAAGAAAAACAAAATATAATCTCCATCTCGGAGGCACTTGCAAACTCGAATAGGGATGACTGAGCACTTCCAACCCCCAGAAGGCTGTTCTGAGACGTGGTGGAGCGAGGCACGCTGGTTGGCGCAGAGGAGAGGAGTGAGGAGCCTGACGCCCCAGCTCAGCTGATAATTAGTGGCATGTCACTTAGCCCTGCCTGTTTCGTCTTCTGTGACACCAGCTTGTTGGGAGGACTAAAAGATGTAACGGGCATGGAAGTACTCTGGAGAAAGGAAAGGTGCTATATAAACGTGAGGCTTTCTTAGGCACACAGAATGGAAATAAATTTATTATGAAGAAACGGACCCAGCTTTTACAATAGCTCTTTAGAGGAGAATGGGCATCGTAGCTAATGGTTGTGTAAAGCGCCTCTCAGTTGGCCTCATTGTATGTACGTGCTCAATAACGTTACCTGCCTTCCACCTTCCCTTCCCATAACTGTCACACACATGCAAGATTTTGGGGGCAGGCCACCTGCCTTCAGTGTTTGATTTGTGATGCCCGCAAAAGATTTCTGGTTGAACTTGCCCGGGACTCGGGCTCAGACCCCCACTAGGGGTGGGCAGTAGTCAGGAGGAGTCCGGCCCACCCACCATTGTCCCTCTCAGCAACCAAGGGCACCAACCAGTGCCACCCGAGGCAGGCAGCCCAGTGATTGGGTACAAAGGTCTCTGACCCCATAGCGCTGACCCTGGGACCAAGCTCCCCTAGAGGGCCAAGCGCCTTGTTTGGACCGGCGGGGTCTGAGTCACCGGGCACGTGTGACCTTGAGGAAGCCCTGGGGCCCCACCCGATGAACCCAGAATGGAGAAGGCCCTCCCCAAGGGGCCTCCAGCCAGCACTGTGGAGGGGCTGTGGCTCCGCCTTCGCTGGGCGGGGCCGGCAGTGGTTGGTTGGGGCAGCAGTGGGCGGGGTGATGGGCGGGGCAGGTCCCAGGTGTAAGGCCGCAGGAAGCTGGACCAGCATCTTTGGCCAGAGGCTTAAGAGACCATTCTGTCTCCAAGCCCCAGGTCCTCCAGGGAGGATTCATTTTTTTTTTTTTTCCTACACGTGTCACAATCGGCCTGCTGTGGTCGGCAGGCACCATGGGGAGTAAGGAGAACTCACCTCCCAGGCTTCAACATCAGGTGGCATAGAAGGAAGGCAGGGAGGGCCAGCTCCATAGAAGTAGAGCTCAGGACCTACCAAGATCGTAAGCCAGGCACCACCAGGGCAGCATTCATTCACTCAATAAAACAAACGGACATTTGGTAGCAGGCTCTTTCTAGAGAAGATGGAAACCCAAAGGACCAGGCAATCTTGGATGGCCAACAGCCCATGAATCCTCACCAAACCAGCACTAGATTTTAAAGCAAAAAGGGTCAAAGAAGATTCCCAGCCTTTGTTCCCCTCCCACGCACCCCCCTGTGCCCCAATAAACACACACACTGGTAGCTGGAGAAAGAAAACGGTCCCAGAAGTAGGAATGGTTTAGCATTTTGATGTTCAACTGTGCACATACTGTGAGTGGAATTAAAAGGAGGCTGCGCTTCGCACATGTGTACCACTCATCCGTCAGTGGGTGTGTGATGGGCACCTCATGGGCATCTAGCTCTGGACACCTAATGGTCACTTAGGGGTCCTCCTGTGGTCTGAGGAGCAGTCCGTTTGCAGGAAGGCAGCGCCCTGTGGCTTGTTTTGACACTGTGATAAAGAACATTTGTCCTGTGAAAGACCCAGAGAGCTGTTACATTGTAAGGAGGGGGTGTTTCGCAAACAATGAGAAATGGATGAAGTGTGTAAATATGTGTCTTTTCCATACAGCTTAATAGATGGATGAGGAGTTTCTGCGGAGGTTTTTCATTTTACAACTCCCGAAACCCCGAGTTTTGTGAGGATACTGCAATCAACAGGCGGCGAGAAGTCCATTAGTTCTGCTCAACCAACTTTAGGGCTTCTGTTCCCCCAAACAGTGGTGTTGAAGCTCTTGTGATTGCGTATCCCTATAAGTAAAAGAATTTTGATTATACGTACACAATAGGTAAACACATTAATATGTATTAAACTGTAGACTCTAAAATATACCTAAGTAGAAATGTAAGAAAATCGAATAAGGCTTGATAGTTTCCTCCATCCTACATTCTTACAGTGATAACCCATCACCAAGCTCCCACCAGGTGCCGGTGAGCCCCCACAAGACCCTAGAATCCGACAGTTGGCCGTGATTCAGTCATTCATGCCTGAAATATATATTTATGGAGTGCCTTCCCTCTGACCTCCCCTTCATATCAGGAGTATCTTCTACAATGTCTGGATTAAACAAAGAGTTGGGTAGCCACCGCTTGCATAATCCCAGTGATGGGGAACTCATTACCCACTTCATTTGGGGAAACTCTTCATTACTCATGTATTCATTCATTCTATCATTCATTAAAGAAAACTTCCATTCTGTGTCCACAGAAGGGGCACTACTCCATCTACACCTCCACCTACCCATGCCAGAAATCTGAGGGCCATCGATCAATACGCCCTCTCCTTCCTTCTTTCCACCTACTGGTCAGCACCTTTTTCAGATTCCACCTACGTGTTTCCTGGCCTATCTGCATCTTTCTAGGTCTGAAAGAAAGAAGATTTCCTCTCTCTACTCTATCTCTGATACTGACCACCATCATCTGCCATCTCTTATCCTTTGCTCTGTGGCCAATGACATGTTTTAATGCAAATATAGCTGTAGAGAGGCTATACCCCTAGAGAGCAGTGTTTAGGAGCCGAGGCTTGGGATCAGGCAGACCTGGGTTGGATTCCAGTCCAGATTCCGGCTGGGGCTCTTATTTGTTGAGAAGTCTTGAGCATCTTGCTGATCCTTTCTGAGCTATAGTTTCTCATCTGTAAAATGGGGATAATAAAGGCATCTGCCTCATAGAGCTGTTAACAGGTCTAACACAGTACCTGGTGCAGAGTCGGCCCTCGACACGTGTGAGCCGCCATGATGGCGATGATGATGGCGATGACGGCTGCAACGAAGACGATGGTGAGGGCGATGACCAAGTTCGCTAACAGGAACCCCTGCAAATAAAGTTCCACATCTGCAACGGGGATCGCAAGGCCCGTCATGAGCTGGCTTGTGCCTTGTGTCTTTCCCTCTCTCTGCTTCCTGGCTCGTTCTCTGCCTTCTGACCTTAGTGTCCATAACTGGACAGAGTCCAACAGGCTTTCCAAGCTCCATCCAGTGCCCACACCTCCCACTCGGCCCGCACCCTGCCCTCCCCAGCTGCTCTGAGCTTGGAGAAAGTTGCCCACCATTTCCCGGGGGATCTCACGCCTCCAAAGGACTTTGGTCATGGGATAAGCGTGTCTTTAGGATGCCTGCAGCCCAGAGGGAAGCCACCTGGCTGGGACCGTGAACGGGCTCTTGGCAGGTGGAAGTGGGCTGGGAAAGCCTCCCTCCCAGCTGCCCCCAGCCAGCCCAGCAACATGAACTGCCCCTGCCTTCCTGACCCTCTGTGCCCCTGCAACCTGGTGTGATGGGGAGAAGCCCAGGTGGGGCCCTGAGTCTGCCCTGGCCGAGTGGGTGAGGAGGGGGTGTGGCAGTGCAAACTGAATGCCAGTGACCTGGGGGGCTGAATGCCAGTGATGATGGCCCTCATCGATTTATGAAGCCACCGATGCCGTCTTGATGATTTGGAAAGTGAAGCCTCGATCCACAGCCACCAGCAGTGTGGTCCCCTCTCTCCTTGCTCCTCAGCCCTGAGTCTAGTGCGCATGATTCTGACCTCTCACCTGGCCCTGGAGGGTCTGGGGGACAGGGGTGAGCAAGGAGGTCTCCATTTGGCAGTGCTAATGGCTGGAAGGCTGATGAGGTCAATGGTCAAACGGGCCCCGTGATCGTGTGTCACACTCTGCTGACCTCTTTTCAGACCTTCGTGGCCACTCAGGGAGGTGGGCGCTCGGGCTGCCACCAGTTCGTGATGGGAAACTGAGGCCCAGAGAGGGCAGTAACTTGCTAAAGCTACACAGCTCTTTAGCAGGGGCGCTCATGATTTCCCAGGGTGGCAGACAAGCCTTGTCACAGAGAAAGCTCTCAAGGTGCCTTCTTGCGTGAAGAGCTTCTGAGCCCACGCTGGGACTGTTTCTGCCCTAACAGTCTGCATCTTGTAGGCCCTGTGAGGACTTACCTCTTACAGAATCCAATCCCTTCCAGGGGCTGGTGGCTGACACCTTACGCTGGCATGTCCTCCATAGCAGCTTCATTGAGATACAACTCACGAGCCGGACAGCTCACTCATTCCAGTGGGTTTTGCTTAGCCCTGGAGCTGTGTGCTCACTGTTCTCTAATTCCAGAACACACTCATCACCCCAGAGTGAAATCCCCCAGCACCGCCTCCCCACGGTTCCGGGAGCCGCTAACCTTCCCATCTCTAGATTTGCCTCTTCTGAACATTTCATAAGGATGGGATCACACACTGTGTGCCTTTCGTGTCTGGTTCCTTTCACCCGCCTGACGCTGAAATGTAATATTTAATTGTAGGGGGAGAACTTGGGAGGCCAGGCCACATACTCGCTGGGCGATCTTGGCAAAACCCCTCACCCCCCTCGAAAGGCCTTTGGCCTCAGTTTCCTCATCTGGAAAATGGGCAGTTCACACACTAAGTGTGCCTCTCTTATCCAGAGCTAATGGCTCTGGAAGAGGGCTCCATAAATTATAAAGGGCAGCACCCATGTGACAGGGTCCGCCCTGGGCTTGGGGCCAGGTCCCTGGCTCACATCCCATCTCTGCCGTTCCTGCTTGTGGGAATTTGGACACAGCCAGTCGGGTTCTCTGAGCTGCTGTTTTCTCACCTATAAAATGAGGATCCAGGTGCTGTGAAGAGTAAGAGACATCAAAGTAGTCTTGTGGGTTAAATGGTATTCCTTTCTGCTGCCCCTCAGTTCATATCCACACGGGACCTCAGAACATGATCTGATTTGGGAATAGCGTCTTCCCAGAAGTCATTAAGTTAGGATGAGGTCATACCGGATTGTGGTGGGTCCTATAGCCAATGACAGGGGTCCTCATAGGAGGAGGAGAGATGCACAGGGACACAGAAGCCAGAAGGAGGTGAAGTCAGAGACCAGAGCAATGGCCCCACAAGCCAAGGAATGACAAAGAAGCCGGGGACGCGGCATAGACCAGACCCTTCCTCAGAGCCTTCAGGAAGAACCCAACTTGCTGACACCTCCGTCTTGGACTTCCACCTCCTGACGTGTGAGAGATGTGCTTCCGTGGTTAGAAACCAGTCTGTCTGTGGCACTTTGCTCCGGCAGCCCCAGGGCATGGCCAGAGGCA